TTATATATAATATTTCCAATGATTCCTATTGTGATTGTCAAATCAATGTTAACTGTCGAGTACCTTCAGGTATTTTCAAGGAATTTGAACAATCTTTTACCAGTATTGTCTTCCTCAACACCCGACTGATGCTAATGAAAATTGATGGATTTTCAGCTGGTTGTATGCCGATGGATTCAATACTTCAATCGACTCTTCAATGTTTTTATAATCAGACATGTTTGAATACACTTCTCTCATTTTTATCCACGAATGAAAGTTTTATAGCTATGAATATCTCTAAGTATAGTCGTTTCAAACCAAATTCTACTGTACAAGAAATAGTCAATGAACTAATGGTTGAAGAATGGCTAACAAATATATCATATGAAAAATATTATGCTCAATGTGCACCTGTTCAATGTACTTACTCAAAATTAGAAAAACAAGATTTGATAAATGTATTAACAAATATCATTAGTTTACATGGTGGACTAACATTAACTCTGAGATTTATTATTACACGTATTGTTCGATTTATACGTCGGAAAAAAGATAATGAATCAAGTTCGCAAATATCTTGTATGTATTATACAGTTTAGAACTAATTTGATTACACTAGACTAATAACTTGATAAATTCCTATTCAAAACAGTGAGATCGTAGTATATACAATATCAAATATCTCTATGAATAACATCTTTGATCTTTCGGTATTGTCATGATTTTCCATATTTTTATTTAGAAATTTTTATATTCATAAGAAGATAAAATTAGCCTTGCTATATGTTGTATTTTATATTCAAACACAATTATTTTTTCAAATTTTTAGTGCATATTCGAATTTGTCAATTTCAAACACGTATCAAACGTTTCCTACTCCAACTAAACCTCTTCGAACATCATTCTAGTAATGCTCGTCAAATACATTATCAATACATTGCTACTCGATTGTATATATTAATTTTCTTAATTTTACTTACAATACTAACTTCTTATATATTAGCAACCAAAGAAATCTATCAAGAAACTATATATCATCCAACTGAAGAACAATACAACAAACTGGAAAAGAGTTATCGAAATAGTCTCTCGTGTCCTTGTAATGTTACTTTTGTCCCGTACAAGTCTTTCCTTGAAATAGAACCTTTTTATCATCATGTATGTTTCAGTGATATGGTCTCTCAACGTTGGATCGATTATTACAATAATTTTGAATTATATCTTTCCACTTCGGATCTCGATTTTCGAGCTAATGCTGGTCGTCAATTTCATATACTAGCTACTTTATGTGAACAAGCTCAACAAACAGTAAATAGTGCTCTTCAAGTATTTCTTCAGAAACAATTTGGTAGTCGTCAAATCATTTCTCAAGAACTTTTTCGATCTCAAATCAACGAAAGTATTGAAAGATGGAAATCAAATACTCTCAATTCATTTTTACATCCTGTTCAATTGATTCGTATTACAAATCAAGGAAATCAACTTATCAATAGTTTTCATAATTTCCATTACCGTCTGGATCAAAGTTCTGGACAATTAATTCCAGTGCCAGCTAATTATTCAACTTGTTCATGTGTAAGATCGAGTGCATGTCGAATTCAAATGGGTATATTCGTTTATAACTGGACAATCTTTGATTATGTTGAACTTTTTCGTATTCCTAACTTTTTCACTGGTTGCTTTCTAGTTGAATCTTTACTCGAATCGACTTTAGAATGTTTTTATGATCATCAATGTATGGAAACCATTGAATCTTACATGTCGAATACAAAAGCTAATTTTTCACTACTTGATACAACTCGTAATTCACCGAATGAAACAATTCAATCGATTATTAACCGATTAATGATCGATGCATGGCAAGCAAACATATCATTTAGTGCTTATTATAAGATGTGTGCACCATTATCTTGTACATATGAAGATACACGTCAACATGATATTTTCTATCTAATCTCATCTATTCTTGGTATATTTGCTGGTTTGGTATTTGGAATAGAAATTCTTATTTTAATTATACTTCGATTTATTGAAAAGATGGCTGATAATTTTTCTTTAATCGAATTAAAAAGGACATTTAAAAATGTATTTATCTGTCGCAATGAACAACAAATTATCAATCGATGTCATTTTATTCTACTTATAGCCATCATATGTCTTCTCTATCTGGCTACATCTCTTACACTAGTATCTAAAACTGAGCAAGTAATTAGACCATCTTTATTCACCTATAAATATCTACTAACAAATTACC